TAGTTAATGTAATTAATACTGTTTAATCAAAAACAGAGCATTTACTTTATATATATATTAAAGTGGTCTGTTTTTTCTTTAATATATATATATATATATATATATATATATATATATATATATATTATATATATATATATATATATATATATATTTTTAAAGAAAAACAGACCACTTTAAGGTTCCATTATAATAATTTATTTCACCAGAGCCCTTTTAAATGAGTCTGGTTCATCAGATAGCACTTCCAAAAGACGAAACGAAATGAAATGAAAATTCACACTTTTGATGGGTATTGTAAGTTTTTGTAATTTAACAGAAGATGTAATGGGGGGGTTTGAGAGACATGGTCAAGTTTAGAGAGGGTTTATTTAATATTTCTTTCAATCATACTTAGTATTGGGGGAGGAGGGAAAGAAATATTAAATGAACCATCTCTAAACTCGACCGTGTTTCTCAAACTACCCCTCATTACCCCCTATTTTCGAACATCACTCAGGTTTTTAGGTTAATGCATTTGTAGCATCTTGCGGGGTTGTGTGAAACTATCCCGAGCGCAGCCTATTTTACATCCTAGTGCAATTTAATCGAAACAAAACAAATAATTCCGTTATTATTTACATTTTTCATATTTTTCCAATGAAACATGACACATGACATGTTAATACTTTGTATGTCCATTCCACAAAGTCGTTCCTTGCAGATTGACTACAGATTCTCGATTGGATTTAAATCAAGAGAGTTTTCAGGTCAATCTATAGTACTTTGATTTGCTCACTGGTCAGGCTTGAAAGAGTGTTCCTGAAGTGTTACAATTTTCGTATACTTCCTTGGAGACCTCTATTGCAGACAATGGCCGCAGGACAACTAATCGACTGTCGAGACAATAGTGATGAAAATATGACGCAGTCACGGATGACGTAATATTTTTCAAGGCCAAACAAATTTCCTCATGCACTCCAAAAATAGATTCATATTACTGCACACCACTGCAAATGACCTTATCTGAGAAAAAAATAGAAATCAATTACACCCTGTCACTTCAGTGGGTCTAAAACTGACCATGTGGTGAAAGAAAGGAAACTAAAGCGGTTGTCTCAATTAATCTGAACAAGGGTCTATGTTTAGTTTCCTTCTCTCCTAAATTAAAGGATCTTTATCTTTGATTTCTAATTCTTGGTACAATTTACTCCTGCCTCAAAAAACAAATCTAGTGTCGGTGACAAATCTAACCTGGCCGTGCGTCTTGAAATGGACCTCCAATCGGTTGTTAATTGGAGCAAGAATTGGCTGGTCAACTACTCTCTATTAATCACCATAGAGATCCTTCCCTCCCCCCCATTAGAATGTCTGATAGTCAACTTCTTGAGAGCAACTCCCTGCGTCTGCTCGGTCTCATGTTGACTGCTGAACTGAGATGGAACAAATACATTGAGTCAATTGCTTCTTCCACCGCGAGGAAAGTTGGCTCTCTGTGCCGCGCCAGGAAATTTTTCTCCCCGGAATCAATACTTCAAATATACAAATCAACCATTCGCCCTTGCATGGAGTATTGCTGCAATATATGGTCTGGGGCACCTTCTGTTTACCTCGGAGTTCTTGACAAGATCCAGAGACGGGTATGTAATATAATTGGCCCTGATCTGGCATCTCGTCTACAGTCACTCTCTCACAGACGCACCGTCGCGTCTCTCTGTCTTTTTTACAAATACTTTCATGGTAATTGCTCCGATGAGCTGCTTTCACTGGTTTTCAGACTTAATGAATTCAAGCGCCGTACGAGGCTGGCATCCCGCTCTCACCCTTACACTGTAGAAACTTTTAAATGTAGCCGTCTCTTCTACTTCAATAGCTTCATACCTCGCACCTCTCGCCTGTGGAACACCCTTCCCAATTACTGTTTCCCTGATAGCTATAATCTCCAACTATTCAAATGTAATGTCAATCGACACCTCCAGTTGCCTTGATCTACCCACTATCCTTCTCCTCATCCTTTCTTCTATCACTCCTATCTGCTCTCGCTCCAAATCTTCCGCAACCCCCTGCATTCTAGTGGCTTCACGCCTTGCTCAGGGCGTAATGCTTAAAAAAAAAAAATTGATGATATTGAAACGCCAGTGTTCTTACGGCAGGAGAAGTTAAGCACAATTGAGCCTAATCACTACCGAGAGGGGTGACCACTTGTAAATATAAGGTAGTTTTAGCTTGAATGTACTGATGGTGTAATGGATAATGGCTCGGAATTGTTAAACGGAGAGCCAAGTTCTAATTCTCGTTCGGTTAGTTAGATTTTCTTACACACAAATACCCATGGAAATCCACACCGTCAGCCCAACAGATATGATTAATTTGTAAGAGTTCTATCACTACACCATTATTATCCCCCTCCCACCCCCAAAAATCTCACAATCTAAAAGTATTTTTTGTTTTTTGATAACCTGCAAAGTGTTGAAAGCCGTAAAACCGAATCAACCAAAAATCAATTGAAACACTTGATAGAGGATTTTGTTTTTGTGAGCATTCCATATATTAACAAATATGCCGTCAGCATATGCCCTCCATCGTCCGTACACTGGCCCCAGTACGAAAAATAGGAACGCTGTTTAGTTTGGGAAAAAGATACATTTATCAGTAATCTCGCACGAATGGTACTGACTGTTGATGGTTAAACCGACTAGCTCGCTAAATATTACCCTCACACCTGTCTCAGTTATGTGCCATGCGTGATACACGCTTAGGCGATCATGTATCTTTCGATATATGACTGACGAGGCAGATTTTTCCCGCAGTAGGATGCCATTTCTTTCTGCAGTAGACCAGTTGCCATCGAAAGCTATAGAACCCGGTTTGTCCTGGTATTTACCCATATCTAGAGTGGGGTGGGGGAGAGAAGAAGAGGATTCATGCCTTTCCCAAGGGTATTAGCACGTAAGTGAATTTCAGTCAGTTATGTGCCATGCGTGATACACGCTTAGGCGATCATGTATCTTTCGATAACAGAAAACAGAATCTACATCACTTGAGGACTACCAACAGCAGCAACACCTAAAATGGATAACACATGTAACTCGAAGAGAAAATAATGACATAATCATGATGTTAACATTCGACACTACTTCAAATTAAGCGTTAGTCTACCCCTCCCCATCATAAACACTGAGAAGATTTTTATATTCTCGTATATTTGTACGTGTGTAGGGGGAATGTCTCTTGTCGTCATCACCTTTGTGTGGATCGGTGAGACGTATCAGTCAGTTATGTGCCATGCGTGATACACGCTTAGGCGATCATGTATCTTTCGATACATGACTGACGAGGCAGATTTTTCCCGCAGTAGGTTGCCAATTATTTCTGCGGTAGAACAGTTGCCAGCCAATGGTATAGAACGCGGTCTATCCTGCTATTTACCCATAGCTAGGGGGGGAAGAAGAGGATTTATACCTTTTTACAAGGGTATTAGTACGTGCGTGAATGTAATGGCTTCGACTGGAATTCGAACTCGTCTCCCCGATTCCTCAATGCGAGCCGCTATCCATTATTCCACCGTACCTCCTAAAGTTGACGGAGTCAGCCACCGGATATCGAAACCCGGGATTAAACCAGAGATCTTCAGATCTTCAGTAACCTATAAGTTTTTTTTCTTTGTATGTTATTACTGCGGGACCATCATACCAAAACCCACAATAATAACATACAATAGAAAAAGAAAAAAGAAATCTTCTTGGTCAGACCAGCTTTCTAGAAACCCCTATCTTAATTCTATTTGTCCTTCATTTCGTCAGTTAGGTCCTTAGTTTGCATGACCCTTACGCCCTGCCAATACCACCGCGCGAAAACACGGAAATGACATCCCAGAGAAGTTACTTAGTTCCAATGAAAAAATAAAAGAAAACAAAGTCAGGTGGAAGAAAGTTGTCAATTCAAAATATTTTCATTTGTACCCACTTCTTAGTGTCCAGCATTTATATGTAATATTGTTATTTAAAAATGTTGTTAAAGTTGATAAGCACAAATATCTAACGACGCAATAGTGGGTTCGATGGATGGTTTGCTGTCGTAGAACTCGCCATGAGCTTACGCAATCATTAACAGAAGTGTTAAGATGCATATAGAAAAACTGCCTCGTCAGTCATGTATCGATTTTTTCCGCAGTATGTTGCCAATTCTTTCTGCGGTGGACCAGTTGCCATCCAAGTCCATAGAACTGTCCGGCTATTTACCCTTAGCTGGGGAGGAGAGAAGAAAAGGATTAATCAAGAATAATTATGGAAACCCCCATCGGCACTGACAAGATTTTTATATTCTCGTATATTTGTATTCGTGTAGGGGGAATGTGTGTTGTCGTTATCACCTCTGTGTAGATCGGTGTGACGCATCAGTCAGTTATGTGCTATGCGTGATACACACTTAGGCAATCATGTATCTTTAGATATATGACTGACGAGGCAGATTTTTCCCACAGTAGGTTGCCATTTCTTTCTGTGGTGGACCAGTTGTCATCCAGTGGTAGGCGGTCATGTATCTTGCAAAGGGTTGAAAGCCATAAAACCAATACAAAAAGAAAAAAAAAGATCGGACCAGCTTTTGTAGACCCCCCCCCCTCATAATTCTGTTTGCCCTTCATATCGGCATATAGGAAATTCGTGAAATTTCCACGGGTCTGTCTAGTCTAAGTAAGTGATAAAACACCCCCGGTAATATTTTTCGAAAAAAAAACAAACAAAAACAAGTCAAAATTAGAATAACAAAAACTTGTATTTTTTATTTCCTTGAACTATTCTTAAACTATTCTATACTTAAACTTATTCTATACTTAAACTATTCTATTAGTTCTATTACTACACTATTACTACTACTATTGTTATTGTAACCAAAATACTACTAAAAATATTACTAATGCTACGACGGATAATAACGATACTGTTGGCGATAATGATGATATTGATCAAAATACATTTCAGATGTTAGATTTCACCTTCATTCCAAAATGGCTGAAGAAATTAGCGCCTGGGGCCAATTTGTTTACTCTTCAGTACTGGGGATGCAATGGTCTTTTGTCCCAGCAAGTATTTGTTTGAGAGTAAATATTTAAAGGCTGACTCCCTTGCTTGCCAAAAGGAGACATTAGACAGGAAATAGTGTTGTAAAAAAAAAAAGAAGAAGCCCCCCCTCCCCAAAAAAGAACCCTGAGAAAAGATGTGAAAGAAAAGAAGCTATAATTTTAGAAAGAAAATAAGTGAATTGTGAAGCGATCGTGAAAAATCGTCACTCCCTCAAACGAAACAGTTTTAATGAGACATTTCTTAAACGAAGAAAAAAAATCGAATTCAACAGATCCCCGGTAGGTGAGACCTGACAAAACACTGGAGTGGACTTGTCATATTAGGAATATACGTTTGCTTTTTTTTCTATTTTTTTGTAATATCGGATTTTGCCATTTTTGATCTTACATACTGCAACTTTCCTATATAAATATATATATATATATATATATATATATATATATATATATATATATATATATATATATATATATATTTAATTTAAGTTATGAAGAACTTGGTAAACCGAATGGGTAATTCCAAGGAGGATGAAATCCTAAGAGCTCAATGTGAATACAGAGCTAATATTTAATGAAAAACAGACCACTTTAATGTACCATTACAATAATTTATTTCACCAAAATCCTTTTTAAATGACTCCGGATCATCAGGTAACACTTCCAACAACGAAATGAAAGGAAAAATGGGATTAGAAATTGATGGGTAGTGTAATTTTTGTAATTTAACAGGGGGGTGAGCGTGGTAGGTAAAGAGACAAGATAGAGTATAGGGAGGGATTAATTTCATATCTCTCTTAAGCATGCTTTATATTGGGGTAGGAAGAGTGACCGAACCTTGACCTATTTAGATGGTTAAATTAACGGAATGTAGGAATGGGAGAGGAGAAAAGAAAAGGAAAAAAACAGAGGAGACAGACGACAGTAATACAGAGAGGGGGAGAGGGAAGTGAATCGAAATTCTTTTTTCGTTGTTGGAATTGTTACCTGATGATCCGGAGTCCTTTAAAAAAGATTTTGGTGAAATAAATTATTGCAATGGTACCTTAAAGTGGTCTGTTTTTCATTAAATATATATATATATATATATATATATATATATATATATATATATATATATATATATATATAGTTAAATTCCTAGACCAATTCTGTGGACAAGACAGATTGGTATAAAATGACAATTGGAAAAAAATCTTAGTTTTGCCGACGCGTTTCGTCTTCCGACTTTTTCAAGGCACAAATGAAATCGAAATGTTTTTGTTGTAGTAACATTAAAAAATACAAATTTAAAAAGATAGACGCTTCTGTCTAAGCTTTTGTTTTCTGGTTAATTTAAATTACCTTTAAGGGATTATTTCCAATTATCATTTTGTACGAATCTGTCTTGTCCACAGAATTGATCTGGGAATTTAACTATATTGTCGACATGGGAAAAAAAGGGCAGAGAGCAACCCAGACGAGGCTATGCCGTTTGGAGAGGTAAACAAACTCAACCCCGTGAATGCGGGTTCTACGGGGAATTTTTGCCCGAGCCAAGGAACTCGGTTCTGCCCCACATAAAAATCGGTCTTGTGCCACATCCTGACATGTAGGGAGCTTGGTAAATGCCATATTGCAACCGTCACTAAAGCACTCTACACAAACTGGAAGTTGTGGAGAGCAATGAACTTCTACATTCGAAAGTATCATTAACTAAATTTTGTGGAATTAAATATTTACATAATGGCTAATTTAGTTTTGATGGATGTTTAATTAGGGAATTTATTTATTTTTAATTTTCTATTGGTAGACATCAATCATGGCAAAATTGAAATTAATTTTGAATGAAGGAAAGTGGCAATATTTTGGATTAAAACCTGCTTTAATAAAGCAAGAGTAATTTTTATATTTTTTCTTTACGGATTTGTGAATTTTTTTCAAGACAGAAATTGTATAAAAACATTCGAATTATTGTAATGTTTCAGATTTTTTAATCAATTATCCATATTTTTTATAAGATAAATTACATCCGTGTCCTGGGTTAGACGATAAGTTACATCTGATAGCAAGCTCTTTGATCAGAATGTTTTGAACGGCGTAGAACCACCTCTTAATTGCTGGTGTTCCCAGATCCACCCTGCCCCTAAGTGGTAGCACCTGTCAGGGACATAACTGTAGATAAATAGTTAACCACCACCAAAAAAGGGGTCAAAACACGATGAAAATATAAAAATAGGTTTTAATACCAGCAATATAGATAGATAGATAGAAAAGATTTTAATAAATATTACCAGTAATAAAAACAAAACAAACCAGTATATACTGAGATAGATAGATAGATAGATAGATATGAAGTGACCAAGAGAGACATACAGATATGAAGAGACCAAGATAGATAGAAGATAGATAGATAGATAGATAAGATTTTAAAAGATATTACCAGCAATAAAAATCTTGTCGGCATTAAATAACCCATTAAGTTTGATATGCCGTAAAACAAACCAAATCAATATATACTGAAATAGATAGATAGATAGATATGAAGTAACCAAGGGAGACAGACAAACATTAAAAGACCAAGATGTAGATAGATAGATAGAAAGGATAAAAATAAATATTACCAGCAACAAAAATCTTGTCGGCATTAAAGAAGCCATTGATGTTGATATGCCGTAAAACAAAACATAGCAAACCAAACCATATATTTTATATAGTTAGTAAACATTTTTGATATCTACCTTCTTAAAATTAGAAAAATATAAATCTTCTAGTGATGCGTTTTTATTACGATTCAGTAATTCGTTTCTTTCTTAACAGAAATAATCATAATCTATTCTATAGCAAGTGAAATGGTTGATGACAGTTAATGTAAGAGCGAAGTAATATTTTTTTGCAGTTTAAACTCGATCTTGCTTTATTGGCAAGTGTAAATCATTACCGGTCAAGGGACATAACTTTTACGAAGAATAAAGAAGGCAAAACATTTTTTTTTCTTAAATAACAGAGGTATTAAACTGACACATGACATACGTAGTGGAAGGATTGTCAGGACGATTCGATTTCGCATTTATGAACAATTATTAAAAAAAAGTGAGAGAACGCGAAAAGAACAGATGAAAATAAGAAGAGATGTCGGAAGGAAAAATTTTGGAAAAAGAAAAGTTGAAGAGATGGGGTGGGGTTAAAACGAAAGAGAGGAAAACTTCGAATGAAAGAAGGATGCAAGAGAAAAATATTAATGACAAGAATGAAAATAATGACAGAAAGAAAAAAATGAAAAAAAATGTGGAAATGGGAATTTTAAAATTAATAAATAAAAAGACAAAGAAAGTACTTCGAACGATGAAAATTACTTGTGAAAAGGCATAAGACGTTGCTGTAGGACGTAGTGGCAAGAAATTATTAATTAAAATAGGGGAAGTATACCATTAAATTCACACAATTACTATACAAATATATATATATATATATATGTGTGTGTGTGTGTATGTATGTGTGCTTGTGTGTTTGTGTGTGTGTGTGTGTGTGTGTATGTATGTGTGCTTGTGTGTGTGTGTGTGTGTGTGTGTGTGTAGGCAGCAAATTCTCCTTTAAGCCGTGTCTTATTGAATAAATTAAAGACATTATGTCTGCTAATTTTAAACAAAATCCGTTCATACTCACGAATAACCTTCCGTATATTGATGTTAAAGGATGAAAGAAATGTGGTGTAGCGGTTTAAATTTCTTTTACTTTCATTTCCCAAGTACTTTCGATCTTCTTCCAATATCATCTACAGTGGTGCAAGTAGTACAAAACTATATGTTGTTCATTAATATAAGTATTTATACAAAGTTGTGCGATGTTATCATTTTGCTTTTTTAAATGCAAAACGGTTGACAATGTGCTGAGAACAAGTTTGTATAAATACTTTTACTAATGAAAACCATATTCACTATTGGCGAGTGAACAAGTAAATATATATAAAGACATGTGTCATTAAATAATTTAGAAAATTTTTTTCTATATATTTTAATAGGATCCTCTCCTAATTACGGACAAATGTCTTAGTATCCTTATTAAAGGAAGAAAGAAAATTGACATTACGATGCATATTCTTTTTTATTCCGAGTACTTTCAACATTAGCAAAATGTCCTCATCAGAGTGTTGTTTTCTATAAGACAAAAAAAAATGTGTTCATCTTTTTTCTGAGATAAAATTCTTGTGTTCATGTGAAAAAATAAATTTTTACTTGAGAAGTGAAAAACGCTAACGTTATATATTTTATAATTTAACACACACACACACACACACACATATATATATATATATATATATATATATATATATATATATATATATATATAAGTTTATGTATGAATCTTATTCTTCTTTCCCCAGCTATGTGTAAATAGCAGGAGAGACTGGGTTCTATAGCCATGGATGACAACTGGTCTAGGACAAGGCCAACTCTGAATTCAAAACCCGCGGAGGGTTGTTTGGGGACCTTGTGGCATGTAGTGCACCAGGTTTCTGTATTCGGCCCTTCAAAAAGTGTGGATGGTCCTGCACGAAACCTTCACCACTATAATCAAATCTCATGTGCTGTTGTCAGGCTGTCGGTTTCCTAGGAACTGATCTGCTTGACCCTCATATGCCGAATTCGATGGGAGAGTATATATATATATATATATATATATATATATATATATATATATATATATATATGTGTATAGTTAACTGGGGCAAGAAATGGCTTGTATATTTTTATTTAAACATCAGAGAGAACCTTTACTCCCTGTCATCATCATGACTAATGTTACTCTCCAGGAAATCAATACTCTACGCCCTCTTGGCCTCACGTTTTCCCACTAACTTGAAGTGGAGCGACTACGTTGAATCAATTGCTGCATCTACTGCAAGAACAGATGCCTCACTGTGTACGGCCAGAAAATGTTTCTCGTCAAATCTCATCTTACGCATTTAAAAAATCTACCATTCATCCGTGTATTAACTACTATTGCTATACCTGTCTGGGGCTTCTGTCTTACATATCGAGATTGTTGACAAAATCCAAAGAAAGATCTGTAATGTCATCGATCCTGACCATCTTGACGTCAGTTACTTTCTCTCCTCTCTCCAAATATTTTCATGGAAATCGCCTGACGAACTTTTTTTTCTGGTACCTACACTATATGAATTTAAACGTGCTACTAGATTGGCAATTAGGTCCCACACGTTTACTGTTAAAATAGCTAAATACAAATGCCACTTCTACGCGAACAGTTACTTTTCTCATACTTCCCAACTTTGGAAATCCATTACGTTTACTTGATTCCCTGTTAACTACAATCTTCAAAAATTTAAATGCAACGTCAATTGCCATCGTCAGTTTTCTTGAATCCCGTTTACCTGTTATTGACACTAACTCCAAATATACAATTCCCGGCCAATGGATTGAATTCAGAAATTTTAATGTCAACAAATCCGAACAGTTCTAAATAAGAACTGGTGGAGATATCCCTGGACATGTACAATGGAAGGAGAAAAATCTATAGTTGTTGGTTAAATAACTAGTTCAATTTGAAACTCCCTGCAGGTATTCCGGATAGACATACGCCTTATGAAGTCTGGAGAATACAGCGGCCGAAATATTGTGGGAACACGAACAAATATGAGGAAAATAGCATGTAAATAATATGAATGAAGCCCAGAGAATACAGCGGCCGAAATATTGTGGTAGCACCAACAAAGATGAGGACAATAGACAGCATGTAAAGAATATGAATGAAGCCCAGAGAATACAGCGGCCGAAATATTGTGGTAACACCAACAAAGATGAGGACAATAGACAGCATGTAAAGAATATGAATGAAGCCCAGAGAATACAGCGGCCGAAATATTGGGGTAACAGGAACAAAGATGAGGACAATAGACAGCATGTAAAGTGTATAAATAATTTAGAAAGAGAACACATTATCTTAAAGAAAAATACTCACAAGACAGACTGAGGGAAAGTCAGACAGAGAAAAAAACCTGTAACATACTTGATGGGATTGAATAAATGGATGTCAGAACAGGGTTTCGGAGAAATAATAAAAAGACAATGAAATATCAATCGCCATCTTCAGTCTTCTTGAATCCCGTTCATCATTTGTACTGCTCTGTTATCGACACTAAGTCCAAGTATACACTTCCCGGCCTAAGGATTGAACTCACAATTTTACTGTCACCAAATCTGATTAGTTCTAATTACGATTTGGTATATATATCCTTAGAAAGTTGCAGTAGGATAAGGAGAATAATCTACACCTTTGTATTGAATAACGAATTCAATTTGGAATCCCCTGCAGGTTACCGGCATACTCCTGATGAAGTCAAGACAACACAACAACAGAAATATTGTGATAACAGCAACAAAGATGAGGACAATAATTGAGAAAGAGAATACATGATCTTTAAAGAAAAGGAGATCATATATTAAAAAGTAATATGCACTAGTCACCGTTTACTGTTATTGTTTCAGGCCAGGAAAACTACAGTAATATTGGATTCATAAGCAAATTATAAGAATTCAATTGTCGTCCAGAAAAAAAGAAGGCAACATTTGTTTTATAGAAATATAAAAAAAATATAATAGGAGATATGAAAAAAGAATAATCAGAAAGCATTTGTCGAGGGTGGGGAGTAGCCATATTGGGTAAATGAGTTGACCAAAAAAAAAAACATAACGGTAGGCAAATCATCTAGAAATAGTTTCAAAGAAAAAAGTAGCCAAAGAAGAAAGAAAATACTTCGGAAAGTAAAATTGAAGAAGAAAGAAGAAAAGCTAACGGATGTTAAAAAAAAAAAAAAAAAAGAAAGAGTCCAAAGGAAAAAAAAGAGAATAAGAAAAAAGATCGACATAAATAAAAAAAAACCCAAAAAAAACATAAGAATTCTTAGAAACCAAACAAAATAAAGGCCAAAAAGAAAATGTCCAGAATTGAAAAGGCATAGCATAATCAAAGCTTAAATGAAAGAGAGTTTCAATGGAAGTCGGGCGAAGTGAAAGATGTCTTTGATATAATTAATGGGCACAAAAGAAGGTAAATCCATTTCTTATTAAATACCGGATAGCAAAAAATCAATACATCAGGCCTTACCAATCAGCAATGCCGACATCGTTTTGGACCTCGGCATGGCATTCAGGACGCGTGATATGCTCTCCTTTCCAATTCATGACGTTAGTGTGCCATGAGATAAGCACGAATCTACAATCTGTACATTATGTTTATGTTATATAACAAAAGCATATATATTTACTATATATATATATATATATATATATATATATATATATATATATATATATATATATATAATTGGTCGTGATAATTGTAGGGAAGTTATAAATCCTAAGAGAACTGAATGTAAGAACAGAGCAAATATAACAATAAATACAGAATCCTTAAACATCCGTTCAGGAGATAGTTTCGTGGACTCAGACATCCATCTCTTCAGGTTTTTATTTAGTAAAATTTGGTCTGAAGTGTGGACGTCTGAATCCTCCACGAAATATACTATCACCTGAATGGATCTTTAAGGATTCAGTATTCATTATATATATATATATATATATATATAGATAGATAGATATAAAAGTGGACATTGAATTCAACACCCAGCGTCATGACCTGATGATTGTCAATAAGCATGAAACAAACTGTCACCCTATATAGCTTAAAACTATATTTTATCATATATATATATATATATATATATATATATATATATATATATATATATATATATATATATATGTAAAATGACATGTCTCATTGAATAATTTAGACAACATTGTCTACTTATTTTCAAAAGGAAAAATAAACCCTGATGATGACAATGTACTAACGTCGAAAGTACTCGGAATAAATAAGTATATATCAACAAAGAAATTTTCTTACTTCATTTAATAAGGACACAAAGAAACTTGTCCGTAATTACGATAGGATCCTGTTGCAATAAGTAGACAAAACTTGTTTAAATTATTCAATGAGGCATGTTATAAGGAAAACACGCTGCCACAATAATACGCTATATATATATATATATATATATATATATAATTAATATATATATATATATATATATATATATATATATATATATATATATATATATATATATATATATATATATATATAAAAACAGACCACTTTAAGGTACCATTATAATAATTTATTTCACCAGAGTCCTTTTAAAGGACGCCGGATCATCAGATAGCACTTCCAAAAATGAAATGAAACGAAAAATTAAATTAAAATTGATGGGTGGTGTAAGTTTTTGTAATTTAAGAGAGAGTGTGAAAGAGACATGGTAGAGTATAGGGAGGGATTAATTTCATATCTCTCTCAAGCATACTTCGTATTGGGGGAGGAGGAGTGACGAGACCATGACCTATTTAGATGGTTAACTTAACGGAAGTGATATATTGAATTGGGAGGGGAGTAGGGAGAAAAGAAAAAGGAAAAAGAATGAAGAGGAGGAGGGAAGTAAAGGAAAAGGGCTGTAATGGGGTTTTAGCAATTTATGTAAAGAATAGATTTTAATGCTTGATAGAAATTTAGATGTCTAAAAAAATTATTTGATGTTTGATATCAATTTAAATATTTAATTTTTTTAAGCAAATAGTTTAAGGATTTAATATAAGTTAAATACTATATTTATTAACACATTTATAGAGAGCATATTAAAAAAATATTTTAAATTATAACAGTTTGTTTACCCGACCAATCATACTTTTTTAATATTGTCAAAATAGTTACGGTAACATCTTTATTAGTTTTACTTTTAATCTAATTTATGAATGCAATTTGTCATTATTTTTATATGGGTAATCTTACTTACTTAAAGTTTAGGTTTAATTATGAAATAATATTTGAGGGTAATATTAAAGATTTTGCTTTCTTCTTATATATATCACATACATATTCATGCAAATCCCATATATACATATATTTATTTACATGCGCAAATACACATATAGACACACATGAAGCGATATACACAGGTACCTATACATATTCATACATAAATTACATACACATACATTTATAAATAATTACATATATTTTTATATTTGAATTCATGTAGATTTTTTTGTGTAATTTCATAGTTAATGTTTAACGTTAGGTGACTTCTGAAGTGTATAATTATCCAAAAAAATATAAATTTAATATTTTACTATATTTAATATATATATATATAACGAATTCAATTTGGAATCCCCTGCAGGTTACCGGCATACTCCTGATGAAGTCAAGACAACACAACAACAGAAATATTGTGATAACAGCAACAAAGATGAGGACAATAATTGAGAAAGAGAATACATGATCATATATTAAAAAGTAATATGCACTAGTCACCGTTTACTGTTATTGTTTCAGGCCAGGAAAACTACAGTAATATTGGATTCATAAGCAAATTATAAGAATTCAATTGTCGTCCAGAATAAAAAAAAGAAGGCAACATTTGTTTTATAGAAATATAAAAAAAAATATAATAGAAGATATGAAAAGAATAATCAGAAAGCATTTGTCGAGGGTGGGGAGTAGCCATATTGGGTAAATGAGTTGACCAAAAAAACATAACGGTAGGCAAATCATCTAGAAATAGTTTCAAAGAAAAAGTAGCCAAAGAAGAAAGAAAATACTTCGGAAAGTAAAATTGAACAAGAAAGAAGAAAAGCTAACGGATGTTAAAAAAAAAGAAAAAAAGAAAGAGTCCAAAGGAAAAAAAAGAGAATAAGAAAAAAGATCGACATAAATAATAAATTTAAAATTTTGAATACCATTTTAAATGCCAGTACCTTGGTACCAAATATATTTAATATTTATTACATAACTGGTATACAAGAGTTCATTGTATTATCGAAGTTTTGAATATTAAATTCCTGAAACGGTCAACACCACGAAGAGAATATGCAAGAGTTCGTTCTCTCATTTCAAATAAGACGACGGCTTTGTATATCGAATATCATGGCTGCGATCTCGCTATGGATGTTTTGTTTTAGTTCCGCAACTGTTTGTGGCTTTCCACAATTGTGAAACGAAAACTAAACAGAGAAAACATGTAAGTTTATGTGTGTGTGTGTGTGTGTGTGTAGGATGTATGATATCCGAAATAAGACTGTAGATGAAGATGCAATGTGGAAAATCTTTATCTAATATTTTTAGTTAGATTTATTAAAAAAGAAATCGTTATATATATATATATATATATATATATATATATATATATATATGTGTGTGTGCGCGCGCGCGTGTGTGTTTGTAGGATGTATAATATCAAAAATAAAATTGTAGATAATGAGACAAAGTGTAAAAAGAAATCGTTATATATATATATATAGATATCGTAACTTATAACGGATACATCAAAATGCAGACATAATGAACACACAAACACCCCTGTCTAGTGGAAGTAAATTTATCTGTAACCATGGAAACGTGAATTATGATTTTAACTGTGTCTTCAAAACCCAGTAATTTTAAAAGTTACTCCAAAATTCGCTTGAGGATGAAATGGAACTAATGTCTTTAATTTAATTACAAAATTAAATTCGGACCTTACATTTTTGAAACATAGTTAGAACTGTGTAGCGGAAAAAACATATTTTAAATCAATTTATAATGATAATGCTCTGTAAATTTACATTGAGCACTATTTTGTAAAAATAAAAATATCTATAAGAACACTGTCATGGGTGACATGAATGAATGGACAGGGAAGGAAAAAAAAAAATTCATTCATGTCACTCATTCATTCATGTCATTCATTCATTCATGTCACCCATGACAGACTTTTTCTTTTCCTCATAATCTAAATTCCCCGTTAACAGTTCTGACGAGAGGGGACGAAACCGGTCGACTGGTGTGTTTTATTTTAAACTTATCATGGCCTACAATACTACATTTCTAGTTTTTAATGCCTTAATACGCTTTTGTACCGTTTCAAACCTATTTAAATATATATATATATATATATATATATATATATATATATATATATATATATATATATGTGCACTGAAACTTTGTAGTGAGTAAAATGGTTTTGCCTATATGATAAAATTATAATAAATAAATAATTATTGCTCTACTATCGGTGTCGACCTCTCTTCTGGATTACTGTAAAATCTGAGCATCATCTACCATGAATTCTATTGCGAAAGCAGAATAATATATATTTTATTACTTCAAAGGTTCACAGGAAAATTAAATTTCAGGATTAAAGACCCATAATGAGTTAACATGCCGTTAAACAAACAAACAAATGCATACATGAGGCTGTCTATATTGGAAAATTCGTAAACTTAAGAAATCAGCACATATGCTAGGCCACAAAAATCTCCTGAGCCGACCAAGCATAGAAATAAATACAATATGGGAACCAGTAATAAGGAGTGCCAAAGAAAAGCAATGATAACAACAAAGTTGCAATATGAGCTCTGGTAAAAACATCTAATGATAACAGCAAAATCGCAATATGAGCACTGGTAAAAATGGTTGCTGAAGACATTAGTTTTAAAATACCCAGAAATTCATACCCAGATGTCCTCAAAGACACATGTGGATAAAGGCGTTGGTTAGATCCAGTGACAGGACCCAAAGAGTGTGAGTTCAATACCCGGTTAAGGCAGTGGAGAACTTTCAGAGGGAAATTAACAGGAGATAACTGATAACTGACATCCATTAAAACATGGTACGTGGAACTAAAACAGTCTACCCGAGTGAGCGAAATAAAGGGTTCATTTCGTACCACCTGAAGAAGGCCGGAGCGTACAACGGCCGAAACGTTGTAATAAATATGGTGACAAAGCTAAGAACAATCCGAGTCCGAATAATGTAAATAATGTATATATGAGGCGTGTTAGGAAGTGGGTAGGCCGATACATTTTTAACAGTTCCTCCTTTATCAGTAGCTAGTTGATTCCATTTTACAATTGTCAATAGACTTACCATACCGACAAAATTGAATCGATAGGTGAACTAGAGAAAGAATCAGGGAGACAACAGTCCGCATTTACCGTTGGCATTGCTGACATTGGGAACAGGAAGATTAAAGTTATTAGGTTGTCCGTGTCTATCATAGTTGATCCTTACAAGCAAGTGCTATTTTTTATTTATTTATTTATATTTTCTTTGAAACTCAGGCTCCCATTGTAAGTGCTGCCGTTTGTCCTACCAACGGGAAGCGTTCCAGTTTGGAAATCTAATAATCAAGTTCACAATAAATTGGACAGTCGGCCGTAACTGTGAGGTCTTTTGTTTGGCCCGAGGCTAGACTTTTCTCTTTTCGGTGCTTCTTTTATTTTGCTTTCGAATCTTTCTTTACTGTCAGGACAGCGGAAGGGGAGAATATACCGGAGAGACCAAAATGTAGACGAGAAATCGCGTGAAGAAATGTGAATGGATCAATTAAGAACCGTACGTACGGCTCACTAGCAGGGGCCAAAGTTCTGTCTCAAGTTATGGCAGCTAAAATTTCTGACATCTATATTTTAGTCTCTTATAAATTGCTCTGAATACCAATGCAATATAAAAAGAGGGGAAAAACATCTTCGACTATGACTGCTACAAGCAAACAATGTCAGTTTGCATCTGACCTCTGATGTCTAATTTCGCATCTCCTTCCATCGATTCTCATTTTTATTTCAAAGATACAAAACATTTAACCAAACTACAGATCTTTATACTTAGAAAAGATATATGCATTGCGTTACTATGGCATTAAGTTAACCGTGTCGTATTTAGAGAAGACAATTTCTAAGTATACAGATATTGCTGAAATAAAAACGATCGTCAAAGAAAAGAAATTTTGCTAAAGTATGTGATCGAAAAGATGGTAGGCAAATACCTTCCCGATGTTATCAGCTCTCAACTTGACATCAACGCTGACGACACTACCATTTACTCCTGGATCGATAGTAAGGCTTAATGGCAGTCAATGTAGAAAATGACCTCAAGACTGTCATTAAAGGTCGCAAAAGATGGCTTGTCAGTTGTAACCCATTTCGAACTAAACTCCTCGCCATTATTAATCTGAGAGGCCCCTATCTGCCTTCCATTAGCATGGCTGATGCTGTCCTCCAAAAAAGTAACTCATTGCACCTTCTCAGGTGAAACGAGGTAGAGAGACTACATTGAATCTATTGATAGATCAGTTGCTAAGAAAGTTGGTTCATTATATTGAGTGAGACAGTTTTTCTCTCCGGAATCTATCTTCCATATCTATAAGTCTACCATTCGTCCATGCTTAGAATATTGCTGCTGTATACGGTCCGGATACCCTGCTATTTAGCTGATCAGAGGCCTTGCTGTTGGATGTAGTTTATCGTCTTACCCTGGACGCAGATGTAGTTTATCGTCATACACAGGACGCAATATAGGAATGACAAAGTAAATATAATTGTAGGGATAGACATAGAAAAAAGAAGGCTTTGAAAATTGAACACTCACAAGACACATCAAAGGCTTTGCGAAGCAGAGGGAAGCGGTGAGTATCCTGTTTCTATCAAATCGTGAAATGCATGTTGTTCTTAACAGCCAGCCTAGTAACACAGATGTCCCCCAGGGAGACATTCTTGATTCCACGCTTTTTTAAAAATCTTCATTAACGACCTTCCCGGTGACATCAGCTCTCAACTTGGCATCTACGCTGACGACACTATCATTTACTCCTGCCTCGATATTAAAGCTGATCAGTCAAACAAGGTCTAAATGGCAGCTGATATACAAAACGACCTCAAGACCGTCGTTAACTGGGGCAAATGATAGCTTGTCAATTTTAACACCTTCCGAACTAAACTTCACTCCATTAATCCTCTAAGAGAACCCTCTCTGCCTTTCATTAGCATGGCTGATGCTATCCTCCTAAAATGACTCATTGCACCTTCTCTGGTGACATGAGGTGGAAAGAATACATTGAATCTATTACTAAATCAGCTGCTAAGAAAGTTAGTTCATTATGTTGGGCGAGACATTTAACTGGAGCTCCGTCATAAGATCCAATGAAGACTCAGCAGTATAATAGTCCTCATCTGTAGGTTCGGGTTCAGTCACTATTAGAGCAAAGTAAGATAGCCTCTCTGTGCAATGCTATCCTGCTATATGACATTGCACATCTGACAATTCCGTTTAATAAAAACAAACAAACAATATTTGATGTTAAACAGAAGGGCTTCCACAGTCGAATGTTGGGAATAGCAAGGACGGAGCATGTAAGGATATGAGGAAGTTGTAAATATAGAAATGACAAAGCAAATATAATTGTAGGGATAGACATAGAGAAAAGAAGGCTTTGAAAATTGAACACTCACAAGACACATCAAAGGCTTTGCGAAGCAGAGGGAAGCCGCGAGTATCCTGTTTCTATCAAATCATGAAATGAAAGTTGTTCTCCACAGCCAGTCATCGACATCTTTTCGTAGTAACGCAGATGTCCCCCAGTGATCCATTCTTGATTCCACGCTTTTTTTTTTTTTAATCTTCATTAACGACTTTCTCGGTGACATCAGCTCTCAACTTGGCATCTACGCTGACGACACTATCATTTACTCCTGCCTTGATAGTAAGGCTGACCAGTCAGACAAGGTCTAAATGGCAGCTGATATACAAAACGACCTCAAGACAGTCGTTAACTGGGGCAAATGATAGCTTGTCAATTTTAACACCTTCAGAACTAAACTTCTCTCCATTAATCCTCTTAGAGAACCCTCTCTGCCTTCCATTAGCATGGCTGATGCTATCCACCGAAAATGACTCATTGCACCTTCTCTGGTAACATGAGTTGGAGAGACTACATTGAATCCATTTCTAAATCAGCTGCTAATAAAGTTGGTTCTTTATGTTGAGCGAGACAGTTTTTCTCTCCGGAATCTATTTTGTATATCTATAAGTCTACGATTCGCCTATGCTTAGAATATTGCTGTTGTATATGGTGCGGAACCACTGCTATTTATCTGGAGCACATTGATAAGATGCAAAGAAGACTCAGTAGTATCCTAGTCCTCATCTGGCGGTTCGGCTCCAGTCACTATCAAAAAACAATATTTGAAGTTAACCAGAAGGGTTGCTACAGTCGAATGTTGAAAATAGCAAGGACGGAGCATGTAAGGAATGAGGAAGTTGTAAATATAGGAATGACAAAGTAAATATAATTGTCGGGATAGACATAGAGAAAAGAAGGCTTTGAAAATTGAACACTCCCAAGACACATCAAAGGTAAGCGAAGCAGAGAGAAGCGGTGAGTATCCTGTTTCTATCAAATCGTTAAATAAAATTTGTTCTGAACAGCCAGTCATCGACATTTTTTCGTAGTAACGCAGATGTTCCCCCTGGGATCCATTCTTGATTCCAAGCTTTTTTTTAATCTTCATTAACGACCTTCCCCGGGGACATCAGCTCGCAACTTGGCATATACGGAACATTGCTAAAACATGTGATCGAAAAGATGGTAGGCAAATACCTTCCCGATGTTATCAGCACCCAACTTTTCATCAACACTGACGACACTACCATTTACTCCTGGCTCGACAGTAAGGCTGATCATTCAAATAAGGTCAAAATGGCAAACCGGTGTCATGGCATGTCAATTTTAATACCTCCAAATCCAAACTGTTCTCCATTAATCATTTGATAAACCCTCTGTGCCTTCCGGCAGCATGGCCGATGCTAACTTCCAAGAAAGTGACATGAGGTGGGAATGCAACATCAAATACATCGCCAAATCAGTTGCTAAGGAAGTTTTCTCTTATCATTTTCATTATTGTTTGTAGTCAGGACCATCGAATCAATGCGAATGGTCCTTTCATTAGCTGTATAGTATGAGCTTCGCCAGGGATCCTTACATTTTTTCTTCTGCAAGATCATTTGCAACCCTGGCTCGATAGTAAGGCTTAATGGCAGTCAATGTAGAAAATGACCTCAAGACTGTCATTAATTGTCGCAAAAGATGGCTTGTCAGTTGTAAACCATTTCGAACTAAACTCCTCGCCATTATTAATCTGAGAGGCCCCTATCTGCCTTCCATTAGCATGGCTGATGCTGTCCTCCAAAAAAGTAACTCATTGCACCTTCTCAGGTGAAACGAGGTAGAGAGACTACATTGAATCTATTGATAGATCAGTTGCTAAGAAAGTTGGTTCATTATATTGAGGAGACAGTTTTTCTCCGGAATCTATCTTCCATATCTATAAGTCTACCATTCGTCCATGCTTAGAATATTGCTGTATACGGTCCGGATACCTGCTATTTAGCTGATCAGAGGCCTTGCTGTTGGATGTAGTTTATCGTCTTACCCTGGACGCAGATGTAGTTTTTCGCCAGGGATCCTTACAGTTTTTCTTCTCAAAGATCATTTGCAACCCAAGGCTGCAGAACCCAGTTTATCTCACTATTCAGCCATAGCAGTGGGGGGGGGGGAGAAGTGTTTGATTCATTCCTTTTCTAAGGTTATTAGCACGTAAGTGAACGTAATGAATTCGACTGAAATTCGAACTCGGCTCTCCGATTTCTCAATTGAAGACGCAATCCATTACTTTAACGTGTGATTTTTTAAAGAGTTTGTTTAACGAGACAATGTTTCTCTCTGGAATCTCTGGCATTTCTATGTCTATCATTCGTTCATTCTCGGACTATTACTACAATATATGGCCCCGTGTCACTGCTATATTTCTCGTGTTCCACGATAAGATCCAAAGAAGAATCAGCAATATTATTAGTCCTGATCTGGCAGCTCGGTTTCAGACACTTACCTACCACCGTGACGTTGCCTCTCTGTGCATTTGTTTTTATAAATACTTTCATGGTAATTGTTCAGATCTGCTTTACACTATGGTACCTAGACTATATGAATTTACGCGCAATACTAAACTGGTGGCGAGATCTCATCTATTTGAAATTTAACTAGCTAGATGTAGCCGTAAATTCGATGCTAACAGTTTATTAACCCACCTTTAATCTGCAAAACTTTAAATACAATGTCATTAGCTATCTACTGTCCTCCTGATTGATTTTTCTTTCTCCTCATTATTAA